ATTTACAAGAGGTCGATTTACAAACAAAATGAATACATAAACATAATATACAAAAACAACAACAATATTGGACAGTCGTAATGGTGGATTAAGTAGGATGATAAGATATTATAATAAAACAAATAATGCAGAAAGAAAGAATAACTAGGATGTCAGCAAATAGTACAAAAATACAAGTTTAATAAAGATCAAACAAATGGTGTTTAAATTTTTGTTTGAACGAGAAAGTACTCAAATCCTTGAAAGAATTATCGATAGAGTTCCAAAGTTTAGGACCTGAAAATCTTATATTACATAATTCATAGTTAGTACGAGCGGAGGGCAGAATAAGTGTTTTTCTAGATGCAAAACGTGTATTATAATTGTGCCTGTTACTGAAATTCATGAAATAATTGTCAAAGTTAGAAGGAAGCTTGCCCAGATGATAATGTCTCTCACCGCTGCGTAATTCAAGCCTGGGATACCGGGTGGTGAAGTAGATTCTCGACTGAAACGCATACTATTGATTTGAGTTTATTAGATGTGCTGTTCTGTCACTTGCGTCAAATGTTTTTCTCTGTTGTTCCTCCTTAAAGTCTACGTATGAAAGCTGTGTTTTTTAAATAATGAACCTAAGTAGTGGCAGTGTTTATAGAGAGAATAGTCTCTACTTTCATAATAAAAATGACAGTTATATGAGCGGGAAAATGCTTTTCGACCATTAATTATCATTTAACATGGAGAAGTAGCCATTGGACATCATCAAAGATTTAAATGTTTCTAGGAACTGCATAAATCTGCATATTCTTATCGCTGGTTTTGTTATCTACCCTCAGGTCTCAAGTATCAACACTGGAGCAAAGTCCTTAACGCACTGGCCGGCTTAAAGCTGTGCATGTTAACTAGCCCAATACCAGAGCGAGGAGTTGTGCTTGGTGGCAGCCTCGCTCTTCACGGCAAGACAGTTTCTCTAGCCTGCTTTCATGGCGTGAATTTCCGGGCTCAGTCCTGGGTCTTGTTCAACTTGAAGCAGTTTTACACCGAGTTTAACAGCAAGGTTCGCTCGGAAGAAAAAAGTTGTCAGGTTCGACGAGTGAAAGCTGTTCAAACCCTTCTGATTAGACTTGGCCACGGCGATGAAGAGGCAAGCATTCCAGGAAATTTATCGCCTTCCTCTGGTGAGTCACAAAATGGTTACGAAATACGTTTTTGTTTTTTTAAACTGAATGAAGAAAAAAATCAATAAAAAACGCTACTGATGATGCAAGATGATTGATCATAATCATTTCTTTATTTTGCACATATTCGCATTTTATTTCTTGCCGATAAACAGCAGCTTATCCTATCCCAAAAACATGCTTTCCAATTATTTGGTGCAAATAACCCATTGACAGACAATATAGTGGGTATTTTTTACAAGACATGATACAACAGAATAGAACTCAGTACGGGTTTGCGAGCTAACACAATGACAGTGTACTGCGAACCAATTAAACTGACATGGTGATAACATGATAACATGATAATCATCATTTAATCATAAGCATTGGTTCTTCTATTAACAGCACACRTAGCAATAGTACGAAAGGTATCGCGCGGCCGTCGTAATCCTCCTTCAATGGGAAGCACGGTGCAGGAATGGTTGACATACGTGTGTGCTACTGAAGATGATGACATCTATCCATCTGATGAAGAACCTGCTGCTTCCAAACAACGAAGTGATTCCAGCAAAAAGGCCTCTCAGACCAGTCGAAGTCGTACAAGTGGTTACCGGTATGAGCATGATTCAGAACCTATATTTGCTCTTCCAAAGTTTGAAGTGGAATTGATAACAGAACACGATATGCCTATGAGTTACTTGGCATCAACCTGGGCAAGAAGGAAGCATTCCACTGGATCACGTGTGCTGCCTGGACCATCAAGCCCACACGTGGTGGAGTGTTCGCTCGTCTCTTCTTTTAAAGACAGTCTGTGTGTCACTATGGATGTCGGGTTACTTTTCTTTCTCCATGATGTAGTCCAATCTTACGTCAAAGAAAATGAAACATCTTCTTCAGGTAAAGTACAATGTAATGCCATGTTTATTGATCGAATTTGATCAACCATAAAGCATTTCGACCCGACCGTTTGCCTCCGCCTTCTCAGTTGTCAAGCGGTATGCGACAAACGGAGACTGCAGACTGCACACTTAAGTCCAGATCAAAACAAAAAATACAAATACATGAAATATGTCTGAAAAATTTGTCTATAAATTCAAGAAGCATTTAATGTCCATTTAGTGTCCAGGATCGCCGTCACTGACACGCTTTCAATGGTATTGCTGGTTTTCACATGACGTCATCAAAACATCAAAATCTAAACTATAGATCGTATAAAGGAATTTCTCAAGTATGTTTTAGAAATCAGTGTTATAAGTCACAAGAAAAAATCTCGAGTCATTTCGATGTTTGGTTCCCGAGTCACGCAATACCGTCACGTCTATCTAAATAGCGATGAAAATATTAAAATAATTTACTCTAGTTGAAAGATTTTCCCTTAGACACGTTGTAAAGATCTATATAAAGTATATTTAATTGAAATATAGCCAAACATATGAAATATTCCWTCATTTTAAGCCTTTGGAATTTCGTCCGCCATGATGGTGTAYCAACTTGGAACACCAAGATGGCCGCTCCATACATTTTAACCAAAAATTGCGTCATGTTTACTTGCCTATAGTTCCGCAACGAAATGCTTTACAGCCTTAAAATTTGGCCAGTTTATGTAGTTTGGACCGCTTTGCAAGAATATAAAATTTTTATTTCATTATAATGCGAATTTACGCTTTTGAAATTCATGATGACGTAGGTGAAAACCAAGAATAGTAAATTTGTTGTTAGTCATTTTAACATTATTGATGTACGGTGTCAATCGACCCGAGTTACAGTATTTATAATATGAAATAACTAATATGAAACCCAAAAAAAAGTAATGGAAAGAAAAAGATATATGATAATATAATCTAATAATAATAATAATAATGATATTCAATACTTAAATACTTTGATATTTGAGGAGAGGGGCTGAACCATTTGTTTTTTCCTTGTAGCTAGAAAGATATATTTTTTGTGCAAGATTTTTTTTAACACACACGATTTATTACTCTCACGCTTTTGCCTTACACGATTATTTTCCGCTGTGCTCAGCCCCTTCCACGACGACAAAAGCGAATTGTCATATGCATTCCCCACAGGCGRCTTTGATCTAGATAACATTGGATTGAGCGGTTTACACCGGAAAATTATCTCCTTGCAATAATTAACGCTAAAGAAACAGAACAGAAAACGCCAGTGATATTACAAATAGTTATTTCATGTATTTGGATTTTTTGTTTTGATCTGATCTGCAGTCTGCGTTTGTCGCACACCGGTTGTGAAGCCTTGTAGTACAACTGGGAGCTTGGATTGATGGCAAATGGTCATTACTACTAATAATAATCTATCAAACTATACAATATATGAACGGAGTCTATTTATAATTCTGTCCCAAATACTGATACACTTTGGAATAAAACTATTTTTAAAACGATTGGTTCTCCATTAAAATAAGTCGTTCAAATAAGGTTTGCGGGTTACGTAAAGTGTAATTGTGAGACCTTGTTTCTGGAAAAAGTTCTCTTATTTTGATTATATACTGATTTCTCTCATTTACAGGTTCAATTCCACGAAGCAGCCCATCTCCTGCTCAAGTCGAGCAAGATTCCAAGGTTTCTGAGAAAGAAGACAGAGATAAAAGTATCAAAGTTGACCAACAGAAGCGTGTCCGCCAGTTTAGAAGCAAAGTATGGAAACTCGAACCCCGAGTTCGCTTCATGTCATGGGCTGGCAAAAACATCGATCCTGTTAACATGGATTGGGTTTTACAAAAACTTGGATTCACTCATGCAAGGCTGACCATCCCTAAATGGGCCCAGCGAGGAGCAATGGATCCTATGGATGTTGTGATCTGTTTATTGATTGATAAACTCATGGCAGCAATGCGCGAGGAAAGTAAGGATGAGTAGAATCGTGCAACTAACAGAATAGCAGAATGAATGAAGGAAAGATATTTTACATATTCACAGATCGCTTTTAAGTGCTTGATCTCAACGTTTTATCAGTTTCAAAGATTTTGAGTATTAGGGAATTTTTATTTAAGCTTTGAAAAATTGAAAGTAAAGGATTTCATATTTTCCTGATTTTTCAATTCAAGATATTGAGTAGGAGGTAGAGTAAAAGTTGCATTTAAATAATTTTTATTGGTGTATAGAACACAAATTCTTATTGCATCTTTTTTGCTCTTCGATTGGCTCAAAAACGTCATTCCCCAGCAATGCTCTTAATTTTATTTATAATGATAATAACATTTGGTATGGGGAGGGGGTAGAGCGGGACACTCAAGATTAACTGCTTCAATGCAGGTTTTAGATCATTTTTCATGTTTCATGACCTGGACATCATCAGACATTTTTCTAAATTTATTTTGGACTGCCATAAATGATCACAGTAGTAATAAGAAACACAACAAAGAAGCATTTCTAACTGTTACAGATATCTGATCAGTTAATTACATATTATATTAATAAAACTGACATTCTTATCTCACCATTTTTCTCATTGTTTTGCTCTTACATGACTAAATGGATGTGCTGTCTACATGATGCAGGGTGTGTATACAGGATTTTCCATTGTGGGGTGGGGGGAGTAATTGCCATAAACCCCCTCAAATCATTCCTCCCCCATCCCTGTAATTGTGCACCATAATCATACAATGCAGTACACCTGATTACTTTGTTGATAAATCTCACTCTCACAGATAAGTTTCTTCAAAGAATCTAGAATTCTGGCAGAACCAACATGACAAAGACTTTGTGTAGAGTGTAGAGCATCTGTAATCCTTGCAATGTGAGCACCTTGATGTAGCGACCCTGTGAAGAACACACATAAAGTTTACTTAATGACGCCTGTGGAAAATGAGCTCACATCTAAATATTATTTCACACAAAGATATTATAATAGAGAAAAAGAGGATTTATGCTGCCAACGTTTTTTTTCAGTAAGGGAATTTATACATGTAAGTGTTAATATAAAGTTGAAGAGCTGTTTTTTGGTACCTTTACTAATGTCCTTGATAGCTTTTATAATGGCAGGCTTCAAGTGATGATCATCTGTGATAATCTGAAGAAAAAATGCCATTTAAACATGATGAAGGCATTAGCTAGAAAGTACATTAAAATTTAATYAAGTSTTTTGCAGTCSTCCATTTTTGCTGTAGGTCTCAGATCTCCTCTTCRACCATKGGTTCAGCCTTAGGGGCMGGGGGAGTGGGAAAGGAACGAAGAGAGTTTTAAATAAGTTGTAAYATAACCTCTGCTCATTGGCTATCTTCATGAAAGAACCATTCACATCCTACACTCCTATATACTATATAAGCTATACAGGAATGTGCCTCTGCTGTATAGGCTATGGGTTTTTCAGCATTTGCAAGTTTTATTTTTTATATGCTATCTTTGGTATTACCTCATAGGAATCCATTGATAGTTTGTTAGTAAAAATAAATATATTGTAATAAACTTTGTTTCAAAAGCTTATTTCTTGAGATATGTAAGAAAATTAAGCCCAATTTGTGATGTCATTTTGTTGAC